CTGGCCTATTTTCAGTTTTATAACTATTCAAAGGAAATGGGAACATGCCAAAGAGCCCAGACTCTTTTTCATATGATTCAAGCCTAAGACTAGCAAAATAAGTTATTCTTCATGAGAAGATACTTATAGGTTAAATACTGAATGAATGTTACTACAAAGCCACTTCCATTTTCTCTGAAATATCTCTATTCTGTCTCCTATCAAATATTCACATTTTAATCACAAAGCAGGAGACCTAGTTTTTATCTTCTGTGTTCCCAACAGCCAGCACCCTGTTCACCGCTGCTGCTCAATAAGTTTATTGAAATTTGATTAAATATGTAGCATTTCTTCACCTTTCTCTTGAAATCACTATAATTACTGCATTCTTTAATGACTTGAGATCTTCTATTACAGACTGGTTGCTGGAATCCCTGAATGGAGGAAGCTTTTTACCTCATGACAGGTTGGGAAGCCACGTGTGCATGGTAGAACAGAGAATACCAATATGGCAAGAGGCCATAGCGCTCTCTGATGGCTTCTCGGATGAGCTGGGTGTGTTCCTTCCCAAAGAGCCAGGGCTCCCGTCGCTTGGCGTTCATGGTGGCATGGCCACGGAAGAAGGGCTGGTAGGCTCCGGCCTGGTACCAACGCACTAGCAGCTCTGTCTCTGGATTCCCAATGAACCCGCCTATGTCAGCTGGAAGCAAAAGAAGGCCAAGTGAGGCAACCAAGCTTTGAATAAATCATGCACACAGGGAAATTAAGGTCTTGAAGACCGACAGGAGAAAAGCAGAGTATATGCACTCCAAAGGACAGGATAAAGCCGTGGCCTCAAACAGGTGACCCTTACTACATAATTCAGTCTGTTTGGGGATCTGACAATGGGTTCTTAGAATATTACTTTCTTGTCAAAAGGTCAGAAGCTTTATTTCAAGATCAATATTCCTGTATGTTCCCCAAAACAGATAACCCAGACACTGAAAAATGTCTGCCTGATTAAATAACTGTGTGTGTGTGTGTGTGTGTGTGTGTGTGTGTGTGTGTGTGTGTGTTGGAGGGGGGTGGTTGGCAACTGATTTCCTTTGGAAGCAACAGCTGAACTAAGATAAAAACAGAAAGAACTGAAGAAAAGCAGATAATCAGAAGTAGAGGTTGTGATTATCAGAATAGAATCCCATGCTGGGCCATTGAGCAGCATATATATTCCTTGTGTTGTACATAGACCAATGAAATAAAAACATATGCATCAAAAGAATGATAATAATTTGCTTCTACTCCTACAGGAAACAAGGAGCAGCTGGAACTGCAGCCATCTTGAGCCCCTTCCATATTGAGATCTCTCATCTACAGAGAATTCTTAGGATGCAGGGAAGACAGTCCATCGGAAAATCTTATTTTAACTAAGTTTATCTTTCTCAAGAGCATATCTTTTGTTTTAGTACAGTTAAAATATGCCACAGAATTTTAAATCTGCTGAGTAAAAAGAATTTCTGTAAGGCTTTCTGATTTTCTAAATTCCTTGTAGTTCTATTTTTCTCACTTTCAAGAAGAAAAGACAGCTGTCAGGAAGAGAAACTTAGTTATCAAGACTGTCCAGGAAGGAAGTGATAAGAAGATGGCTCTGGCTCCCTTTCCGACAACTTGATTTCATGTCGTCAACACAGACCAGACAGAAATAGCTCTGAGGCAAGCCTTTCACTCTCCCCTCTAATCCGCTCCTCTTCACTTTCTCACAGTTTCTCTTTCCCACATTTATGTCTGCCCACAACAGCTAATGAGAAGGGATTTGTAATCAGCTTTGACGAAAACACCCTCACTTTTTATTTTCTTGCACTTCAAGCCTCAAAGGACTCATCTTACCTCCACAAAAAGAGATCCCAGTAATGCTGAGAGTGAGTAACATCGGGATAGAAATTTTCAGGTAGCTCCATTCTGCTGTGTTGTCGCCTGTCCACACAGCACCTTTGGTCACAAGCAACAATGTATTAAAATCACAAATCAACCCATGCGTTCAATTTCCTATGTAGATTCCTTATTTGTAAAAGACAACTTAATGAAAAGGAAAACCGATTTCTTGCCTTAAAATAAATAACTTCTAATTTTCTACAATGAAAATTATCAATTTTCTAATGTGAAAAGTTATTAAAATCTACAAAACAAGCATTCTAGGAAAATATTCTGAAATTGCACTTATTTTTGAAGTATAGTTTAGGTCGGATAGAGGAGGAACCCTTTGAAAAATCAACTTTAAGATATAACTTGCATATAATACATATGGGTTTTTTGGTTTTTTAAGATGGAGTCATGTTCTCACTTGCCCAGGCTGGATGGAGTGCAGTGCCGTGATCTCTGCTCACTGCAACCTCTGTCTCCCAGGGTTCAAGTGAGTCTCCTGCCTCAGCCTCCCAAGTAGCTGGGATTACAAGTGTGCACCATAACGCCTGGCTAAATTTTGTATTTTTAGCAGAGATGGGGTTTCACCACGTTGGCCAGGATGGTCTCGAACTCCTAGCCTCAAGTGATCCACCTGCCTTGGCTTCCCAAAGTGCTAAAATTAGAGGCATGAGCCACCATGTCCAGCCTCTTCATGTATCTTCTTTTGTAAAGTGTCTACAGAAATCTTTTGCTCATTTTTTAAAAAATTTAAGTTCAGGGGTACATGCACAGGTGTGTTATGTCAGTAAACAGATTATTTTGTCATTTTGTCACCCTGATGTTAAGCCTAATACCCATTAGTTATTTTTCCTGATCCTCTTCCTCTTCCCACCCTGTATTCTCAGGCAGGCCCCAGTGTCTGTTGTTCCCCTCTATGTGTCCATGTGTTCTAATCATTTAGCTCCCACTCCTAAGTGAGAACATGTGGTATTTGGTTTTCTGTTTCTGCATTAGTTTGCTAAGGATAATGGCCTCCAACTCCATCCATGTTCCTGCAAAGGGCATGATCTCATTCACATATATATAAATAAATTTAATAAAAAAGAAAAACATCAAAGACTAGATCACAGGCAAGATAGCCCATTCTTTTTTATGGCTGCATAGTAGTCCATGGTGTATATGTACCACATTTTCTTTATCCAGTTTACCACTGATAGGCATTTAAGTTTACTCCATGTCTTTGCTATTGTGAATAGTGCTGCAGTGAACAGACACGCTCATGTGTCTTTATGACAGAATGATTTGTAT